GAAACTGTCAATGCCTAACTGTCTCCGTCTCTTCGTTTAAAATCGCTGGAGTGCGTCTATGCCATGTTATTAGAGCTTTGAATTTCAACCCCCTTCGCTATTCTCACACTTGCGACCTCATGCTTCATGCCTCATGCTTCATGCCTCATGCTTGCCTTAAAACACTCAATGTACCCTGACAATGCAAAATGTCAGTCTAACCTCAAAAGAGTGAGAACACATTTTCAACGCATGCGCAAAAGTGAGGGAACTGAACAATGGCTTCTCTTCAAAGGAAGTACTTCTCTTTGTGTTGTTTACATTCTAAACAGATTATCAACGGTCAAGTCAAGGGATTCCGATAGTTGAAAAAGGCCTTGCCGCCCATCAATTCAAATATGTTGAACATTTTTATTATAGAAAAACTGCAATGGAATTTGACTGAGTTCCCTTTCCGTTGGAGGATGCGATTTTTATGCTGCATAAATGCGAGGAAATGTATGATTTTTTATATTAATCAATAAAACAGTATAGTAATACATTATTTCCAACTACAGTGTCTAGTCACGTAGACCAACGAGCTGCAAACATCGAAGAATGAATAAAGTTAGTATATTTTGGAGAATATTATAGAGTTTCTGCGACTAGCTCAAATGGCTTGTGGCATTGTACTTGTATTTTACAATCACTAATATCAATAAATTCATTAGTTTCTACATTTGTTTGTTGGTGAAGTTTTCCCTATTGAGATTTGACAATCATTCATTATTTCAGTAAAGATTGTTGGTATATTGACATCATGGTGAAGGTCATGACGTCTTATGAACATCTACTATGAGGCGAATGACTTTATATAAAAAGCTGGTAGATTGTACGATTCATTTAATATATTTATTTAATATAACGTATTGAGTAACTGATAATTGTAGTCACTTACAAATATTCCATATTAATTACTTATTAGTTATTATTAGTTAGCGTAGTCAATTTATTTTATTATCCATAATTCAAAACAAAATATATGGAAACTTAAGTCTCTATAAAACAATAACAACTAAGCTAATTTTCTGTCATAATTAAGCCATTAATTAATTTATTAATTAAGTTATTAATTGTGTTATTAATTAACGCAGGAGCATGTATTTCTGCTACTTGAACTCTTTAACCGATATATGATGCCTAAAAAATAATATATATATATCTTGTTTAAATATCGTTGGAGTGTTAGTTCATAGTTCATACTGCAGAATTTTTTTTAAGAATACTTCTTGTTTACTCTAGATTGCACCACTCAGTAAGGCATATCCTACGGACGGAGCACACACACTTTTACCCCAGAGAAGTTTTTTAATTTCATGAAGAATTGGACAGTGTTCCATAAAATTAAAAATTTTACTATTATATATTAATGGATCCCACCGAATATTGAAAGATGGTAACTTAATTTACAAAAAGAATTATTTTCATATAAATTTTACTAAACGAAAAGTAATGGTAAAAAAATAAATAATTTGATCTTAATTCGTTAAAACAGTTTTGCTGAAGGTGACTATTGAAGATAGTCGAAATATCGGAAAAATATTTTAATAAAATATAATTTTTTTTCAAATATAAATTATAGGTTTTTTATTTCTATTTAAATTGGTCATTTAAAATTAATAAATTATAACATAATATTTTTGGTAACAGATAAAAGAATATGCAGCGCTATTGTTTCGATGCTCTCAGCTACAACTTTTGATGACTTATAGAAATCCCTTCATAATCCCTTCATAATAGCAACGATGTGCTCATATTGAGGCAATTCATAATTATAGAAACGATTAAGTGGAGATGAGATTTGAGCCAATGATCTAACAAGATATGGTACATCACTACTCTATTGGAAAATATAATTATATCAAAATTTCGAACCCGATATCTCCTTTTAAGTAACATACTGCAAATACTCAGAGTTATTACTAGTTAAACATAATACTAGTTAAAAACGTAAATTAAAACATAATAATTTGTTATATAAAATTCATAAACCATTCTAAATTTATCAGAACATTATTTAATAGATGCCTGAAATACATGGCTGAATTAGTCGCTCTAGGTAATAATTTGGTAATGTGGGTGCAAAACGAATAATTAAATTATTAATATACTACTGTGCGATCCTTTAGGCGAGGAGTTAATTTCTTAAAACTTTTTAATTGTGAAGAACTGAAGAAGACTTCTAGTATGCGAGAAGATTGTAGCCACTTTTTTCTCTCTAGACCTGTTTGAGTTTCCATATTGTATTAATGTGGAATTCCCATATTAAAAATAATGTTAAAGTTGTTACTGGTCATAAGATTTTTGTTAGCTAATGTCTACCATATTAGCACTCACTATTAGACAAACTATTTTCTTTATTTTATGTTAACTTGAAGACTGGGTATACTTACGAATGCAAACTGTAGATTCAATGAAGAGAATGAGGAATATAAATATACACACATACGGAATAGGGTTAGGAAATATTTTTACGGAAGAGGCAATAAAACTCTGTGAAGTATGTTCTATACTACTTTTTATTGACGCAATAGGCCTTAGAGACACTCTAAGCCCAGAAGGAGACACCATATACCCAACGGTCGCAGTGCCACATCCCCGAACAATAATAATAATAATAATGTTTATTTAAAGATTTTCAATATTTTAAAGGCTTTTGATTAATTTTTGTGTATGAGAATCAAAAGTAGTTGTGGTCTTTCAAGATTGTAATTTAATTTTTAAATTTCATAAATTTATTTTTATCGCAAGCAAAACTAATATTGCTGCCACTAATATCGAAAAACTAATTTGATAACAAATGATAAAACGGAATTTACCTAGTGTGTGCAGAAGAACTGCTTAGAATTCGTCCAGAGGCTGGCTCAGCTCTTCCCTGCTTCTTCCCTGCTTCTTTGACGAAATTCATTTCCTAAATTGTCTACAAATAGCAAATTAAATTTGTGTTGACAATATTGTTGTGCGTTGGAACAAGGTTAGGACAACCAATTTAGCAAACGAGCAGAATTGATTTATGCACAACAAAAAGCACTTGAATCGAATTTTTGTAGAATCGAGCCACTTACGCCAAGGAAACACTATAGGAATCAATGTCATCATGCCAAATGATGTACGAAAATTCAATATAATTTCATTTTGTTGTAAATGTTACTGCTCTTCTGCTCTTCTGGTCTTCTGCTTATTTTGTTGTTGTGCTGTTGTGCTGCTGTTGTTTGTGCATGAGTGTAAATATATCATGTGTATTGAAGTGTATTCGTCGCTTTCAGTATGTGCATGTGTGTGTGTGTGTGTGTGTGTGTGTGCGTGTGACTTTTGAAACAGTAGTAGTTGTATTCTCATATACATCTTTATCAATATTGGGGCAACAATATCCTTTTCTATTGGCATAAGGTTTATGCCCCTACTACCACACAATAACCGGTGAACACGCATTGCATAACAATAAGCTGAAAAGCTGCTATATGTATTCTTTTCTTTTTCTTTTTCTTTTTCATTTTGCATTAAACATTGTTTTTAATTCTTCTTACTGTTCTGTTCGCTTTTCGCTGTTTTTTTTTGTTTTTGTAAATGGCTTTGTTGTACTGATGTCCACGTGCAGTTTTTGACATACCTTCTATTCCCCAACTGCTACTGCTACTACAACTACTCCCTCTTTCTTTTTTGACAAATATAAGTTGATGTGTAACTATCAAAAACTCAATGCTTGTAAGTAAATCAGCTTAACTTTTACCATTGAGTAAAAATATTATAGAGTCACAATGACTCAATTTTTAAATTTTCAGCAACAGGCACGGGAGGGCGGAGTGAAGATATTACTTCTTTTTGCGCTGCTGCTAGATCGGCCGCGCTTATGCTTGTTCTTTCTTAAAATTTTACTATTGATGAATGAAGGACAAAAATGAAAACAAAAAACAGATTTGCTTGTTTACGAAGGCAGGCAGTACAAGAAAAGAGACAAATTAGTTTTTGGTGTAATTATTTGTTTTTGCAATTAATGCTTGGCACCAGCAAGCAGCACGTAAAATTGCATGCATTTAATATCACTTCATAATGCAAATAAGACAATCATCCCTACTTGTTTGGAAGTTTACTGACCTACATATATATATGTATGTGTATAAATGTATATTTATAAACATATGTACTTTTATTTGGAAGAATATGAATATTTTTTGATCTTATTTTAGAAACATTTAAAGCGAATGAAACCAATTTCAATTTTTTGTTTTAATCAGGTATAATAACAGTTATATGTATGTTATATTAGTATTAGCTAAAATAAGATAATTGTATGTAATTGACCATGTGCGAGTTCAAGTAATTGATGGTAAATTGAGGAAAATAGTAAATTATGTCCGTATGGCAGCGAATGTTGGTATTTACCAGAATTTCGAGTGGGGTAAATTAGGTAAATTAGGTATTACTTTCTTTAAGATAACTTTTTATAAAATGTATAATAAAAAAATAAATAAATTTGAAAACTTTTAAAATAAGTGCAGCGCAAAAAATCCCTAGGAAATTTCAGTTTACTTTACGTTAATTTACTCCAACTCGTACACGGCCTTTTATGGGAATTAATGAGAATAAAGTATTAATTACTCTTTTAGAAGAGTAATAATACAAAATATGAAAATGCAATAACTAAATAATAACGAAATAGTAAATCAATTGTTTTGTGCTTACGATCTCGTTGTGTTCTTTTTCTGATATAACTTATTATTAAAATTTAAATAAACTTTCATATATATTAGCATAAATATTTATATTTAGTTATTTGAATTCAATATATCTAATTATTTTAAATAAAGAATTATGTCCGTAATTTCAAAGAAAAATAAAGACATTTGCTGCATTTCTTCTTGCAAACGTAGTCGCCGTTTTGACGAAGGTGTAAAATTTTTTTCTTTTCCGGCGTACGATACCGCATTGGGTCAAATTTGGCGAGAAAAATGTAATATTCCTCTGAGTAAGTATCAAAACAAAATGAAAATTTGTGATAAGCATTTTCCTGCCTCAGATGTTGGGAGTAAATTTCTTAAAAGAGCAGCGGTACCGATTTATTTCTTAGACGGGGTAAATGAAGAGGACGACTATGACTTTTCACAAACCCAAATAATTCCTAATTACGACGAAAGTGTTGAGACGACCAAATCCTGTTGCAATTGTGCAAAAAGTAAATGCGCCGAATTTTATAGAAAGAAATTCTACAGAAGCGCTTGTGAAAATGCAAATTTAAAAAAGAAAATAAAAATATTGCAACAAAGAGTTAAAAATAAATATCCACTTGTTAAAGCAATTGAGGCTAATAACAGTATTAGTCGCGAGTCAAAAGCGTTGTCCAAGATGCTTGTAGGATCTCGAAATAGGGAGTACGATGAAGCGTCAAGAGAACTGGCTCTTAATTTGTACCTAAAGTCTCGTTCAGCATATTTATTCATGAGGAACAAACTAAACCTTACGTTACCCCATGAAAATTCTATTATAAATTGGACGCCCATCAAGAATTTGCAACCTGGTTTTAAAAATGAATGTTTCCATATGCTTGCGAAAAAAATAAGCATGCTTAGGCAGATTGACCGAGAGAATGCAATACTTATTGTTGACGAAATGAAATTAAGGCCAGAGCTACGGTATAACTCGGTATTGGACCAAATTGATGGTTTTGAAGATGTGGACTTTTTCAGAACTGATAAAATTGGTAAAAGCATATGCCTGTTCATTGTGAAGGGAATGTTTTCAAATTGGTCATTTATATTAAATTATTTTATTACTGAAAATGGCATGGATGGAGACTGCTTAAGTAATATAATATTGGAAAATTTGCGGCTCCTCAAACATGAGCTTGGTACTATTGTAAGAGTTATTTCTTGCGACCAAGGTTCAGCAAATAGGAAAACATTCTCTACCTTTGAAATTGTACCTGAAAAGCCATTCTTTGATTTCGAAGACAACAAAATATTTTGCATGTATGATTTTCCGCACTTGATTAAATGTCTCCGTAATGGGCTTATGACATGTGACCTAACAACGGCAGACGGCATTGTGAGCTTTAAAGTACTGAATGAACTGTGGGAGCGAGAAAGATACGCAACTACAAAAATGTGTCCTAAACTAAGTAGGCAACATATAGAACCAAAAAATTTTGAAAAAATGAGGGTTAAGTTTGCGACACAATTATTTAGTAAGACAGTGCAAGCCGCAATAAGAACCATTGTGGGAACTGGAGGTTTTAACAATGTCAGCAATGAAGTGGCAGTAGCAACTGCCAATTTTATTGAAAAAATTGATAAAATATTTGACTGCATGAACTCCTGTACCCTGTATTCCAAAAATCCATACTCTTGTGCGTTGCAGGTCGACGGAATTGTAATAAACTATATAAAGGAATTCATCCTTTATTTCAATTCCGTTAAGTTTACCGATCCAAAGAAAACTGTTCATTTCCTGACAGGCTTTAAAATCACGCTTAATGGAGTTGTTCAGCTTGCGGAGGAAATTTTTCGAAGCAATAGTGAAATATTCTTTATAATGACAAATTTTCTTTGTCAAGACAAACTTGAAAACACATTTTCAATATTACGGCAGAGAGGCGGTTATAACAAAAATCCATCCGTATCAGAAATTAATTATATGCTGGCGAAAGTTATAACGCGTAAAATTTTATTATCCACAACAGTGGGAAATTGCGAAACTGTGGAGGATGATAATGTGTTTCAGTCGGTTGTAGATGAAGAAATATCACCGAGTAATGAAGTTTCTTTAATAGTTCACGAAACAAACGACAATTCGGGCAATCAGGATGAAATTTCCATTCAAAATACTGTGATGTCGTACATATCCGAGAACCATGACGTTTTAGACAGTGAATTGCCATCACTTCGATATTTTTTGGGTTACGTCGCATCTCGAGTTTTACCGAAATTAAGTTGTTCATCATGTAATAAAAGCATCAGAAAATCGAATGAGTTTTTGACAGCACCAACAGAACTATTTCTATTTTATAAAAATTATAACAAATCCACAGATTTCGGTAAACTTGTTGCACCCACTGAAGAATTTGTTAATGTCAGCTGCAAGCATGTGTCCATATTTAAGAAAATGTTTAAACAAAAGCCGGAAACTTTTGAAATTAGAAAAGTAATGAGGGAACAATGCATTCTTTCAAGTCCGAGTTGGTTTATTGGGGCCTGCAGACTTCATCGAATTGAATTGCTGGACTTTATTCTGCTTATATTACTTCGTAAGCACTGCATATGGATGGTAGAGAAAGTGAAATCGACTAAGGCATAAATTGTTATATGACCTTATATTACAAATTTGCCCTAATACAGGCTTAATAACATCTATTTATAATTTATTTATTACCATAACTACTTACTTTATTTATTTATTTTGTTCAAAATACATAGTTTAAGTGAATTAATTTTAAGATAGTTATTAATAAACATGCGTTAATAAATATGTATAAAAATGTGAATATTAATATTTATTACGTAGAAACTTTCGCTATTTTTTATGGTTATTCACGGGATATTGATCAATTTATAATTTTTTGTGTTAATATACAATAATATTTTAAACAAAGCAATTTATACATATAAACAATAAAAAATCATGTATCATATATATATCTAATAACGGCAAGAACTAACAAATGTGTTCTCTTATTGGTGGTGGTATTCCTCTATTCCTGAGCGTTGTTTGTTGTCGTTTTGTCATTGGGCCTTGTTGTGGTAGGATTTTAGGCAGGTTTAGGAGTATTTTCGGAAAATCTTCTACAGGTTGTTTTCTTTCTTCTTTTTTACCATTCTATTTTCCAATTATTTATGTGTGATAATATATTTCTTTATCATTTATATGTAAAAAATCTTTTTGTCAAAAATACTAATGTATATTAACATAAAAAACTAAAGTTCTTCAAATTCTTGAGAACGATTATAAACTATAGTCGAAATAGAGAACAAATAATAAAAAAAATTTTGAAATAGTAAAAAAAATCTCTTTTCTATATTATTTTTTTTAAACAAAATTTCTTCGTTATCATGGACTAGGCCTCCTGGGGACACCATGTAAAAAAAAACGCGCCATGCATTATACCTCAAAGGTGGTTTGGAAATTAGTGCGCAACTAGTAACATGAAAATTGTCACTTCTATTTTATTAACGATAACCTTTCATGTATGTCGATCTAGTAACTATAAATGATTATGCAGTTATTTAAATAAATCTCCATTTCTCGGCAATTATCCGCTTGCAAAAGCTAATAGTCGATACACTTGTACCCCTTGTACTGATGTTCCGTTTATACTTATTCAGTATCTGTGAAGCGCATATATTTGCGAAATAGCGTTAATTATTTAAACTGCCATGTAAACTGAAGGTTTAATTTTAGATTGTTTTATTCATCTTAAATTGATTTCTATATAATTTTATTGTAATACATTTGGTAAAGCTAAAGCTTACTATTTTTAAAAAATATTTTACCAATTATTGATAAATATTTTATATACATATGTATTCTTATGATTTACATATGATATACATATGTATTCTTGCTAAGATTTAATATGTATAAATATTATGTAAATGCGATAATTAATTACGAAAAAAATTATAATTCTTTCTTCAAATGCCATCATAATGAAAAATTGTTTCAATGCTGCAAATAAAATTTTGATATCTCTTGCCCCCGAAATTACATACAAAAATATCAATGTCCATATGTTCATATTTAAACACAAAGCAAGTAGGCATGAATGAATATAAAATAGCGAATAATTCTTTTTACTACTTACATTATAATTCAAGGAAGCAATAACAACACCTCAAAGAGCAAAAGGAGAAAAAAACACAAAAAAGAAATATAAAAATTTCTTGAACCTATGAAGCAGAGAATATTGCAAAATCTTCTTTGGTATGAAGCAAAAACGACTGAAGCGACGTCGGCAGAGATTTGAGTGATTTAGGTACCCATTAATAGATACCTAGAACAAAAATTAATTTCTATGGCATTGTGACTCTATAATATTTTTACTCAATGGTGCAACGCTTTGCATTTTTTGAGTGTTTTCAAAACTTTGCATAACTCAATTCTCAAATTAATGCTTAATGTTCTCAATGAGAGAAAAATGCTCAAAAACTCATAAAAATTTGCAAAGTGAAAAGTGTTGGTGCAACAGGGCCCTGCTTGAGCTTTCACGTCTTCAGTCAGAGTGCTTAAAATTTCATTTGAGTTCGAATTAAATTTACGTAACGTGATGTTATGTCAGCCATGTTGTGATTATGGTGGTTCTAGAAGCCTAGCATGGCACGCCGGCAGGCCCGGTATGCTCGCCGTTTTTGGGTGTAAGTTCTTGGCAACTATTGGCCACCGGCTGACAACAAACAAAAAAAATATCGTGCCATTGACAAATTCTATCTAGTTCTATTTAGTAATTTTTTTTTCAAGTCTTTCAGTCCTGTCAACTGTTCTATCTTCATAAGCAGTCTATTTCATTCTTCTCCTATACGCCCCTCATA